GTATGAGAGGACCAACGTTAACTCTATCGGTGGGCCTTTAAGTTTCCTTTTTTTGGTCATTATATCCTAATCTTAGTTGTATCCTAACATTTTTAGAGCCCCTTGAGCTATCATTCATTTTAAAATCCCCAGTGCCTGGCATACAGTATTTATTAAATGAGCTTCCTTAAAGAATGAACTTAGCTTTCTGGTTAACATTGGGAGCAAATAATCTGTTTCCTACAAACATCAAGTGCGGTGCATTATTTTCTTAATCTCTGCCAGTAGTCTGTTGAATTAACCTATTAATCAAAAAGTGGTACAGCTGCCTTAAATTATTCCTGACGAGTGTAAGATAAGTGCAAACAGGACACCATACAACGTTACTGTGTTCGAATCACTGGGACGGAGCTGGCGTCCCTTCCCGCCGGGGGAGGAAGACGCTCACCACGACCTTGGGGCTCCGCAGGGCAGCCCGGCTCCTAAGGAACTCCCACAACCAACGGAGACCAAAGCCGCCGGCCCGCGCGGGGGCCGCGGGCTGCGCTCCGCTCGGCAGGACGAGTCCCCGCTATTCCTCCCGGCCTCCGGGAAGGGGAGGGCGGCAGCCGGGCCGCCCACTCCGCGAACAGCGGGGCCGGCGCGGCGGGAAAGGGTCTCCCGGAGCCGCGCGGCCCAGCGCCCGCCGGCCGCCCCCCCGCGCCTGCGCACAACGGCGGGTCCGCGCGGTGGGCGAATGTTGGGGGGACCTCGGCCCCTACTCACCCGCTGACGGGGCTAAGCGAGAAGAGGCGGCCTGTGCACCCCGGAACCCAGACTTTAACACTCCGAAAGAACGGCTCCCGCTGGAGCTCAGCTTGCGGACTACCCACATCGCCAGAGGTACCACGTCCTTTCCGGTCCCTCCGGTACAAGATCCCCAATAGAAAGGTTCCGAGATCCACTCTCGCGCAGTCAGGAGTCCATCTAATCACGGTTGCACTTAGTGGATGTTTTATATATCGATAGCTATATTCACCTTCAACGGGTCAAATTGTGTATGCCATTAAACTATAGAATGTTTCTATTATCATAAACGAACTTAAAGACCTTTCTATTATACCTGTCCCTATATGACATCATAGCCAAAGTAGCCATCCATGTTACTATTGTACTTCCTGCTACGTCCTAACTTTTCTTTTATTCCCTGGTAGCTCTACTTCATATTTAACAAATGTCTCCTAGAGGATTTTTATACCCATTAGACATCTTAGAATCATGAAAGCATGGGAACACTTCTCTAAAGAAATAATTGTCAAAGTCAATGTCAGAGGGCCTCAAGTCTAAATTGAGTATTTCCTACAAGTGACCTGATAATATTCTAGACAAGGGCATACATTATATAGCAGAAGACTGTTAATTACCCAGGCTAGGCAAGCTTCATTTAGAGCAAGAACGGTGATTTGTAACATTATACCTCTAACTACATAAAAGCCTTTCCTTGGATAAGAAAAATTTCCAGCATTGAAGGTAAAAAAAAAAAAAAATCATTGTATATTTTCAAAGGGCTTTTTGAATTAGTGGAATTTACATAACTCAGTAATGGCCTTTCACTTATGGCTTCTTAGTAAAATATTGACCTCATTCTAAGAGTGGTTACGGACCTCAGCCATCTCTTCACAACTCCTCTCTCAAGATGGCAGAAAGCTCTGCATAAAAGATCCTTTAGCATGTGTTATTTGCTGGAGTAATAGACCCAAGGAAAAAAAAGCAAAGTGCATGATTAAGTTCTGGCTTTATTTAAATGTACTTGCTTTTAATAACCACCTCACCGAATTTCAGAACCTTCCCATATTTTCAGTTCAAAAAAAGCAATCAGTAATTTGTCAATCAAAAGCTTATTGAATACTCACTAGTTTGACTTAGATAAGCAAAACTAGCTCATGTGGTTTTTCTCTACAAATGCAAAAGGCTTTCCCAGACACTTAAACCTGAGTTATTCTGAAAGGATTTGCAGTTGTTATATGGTACATAGCGATTGTTGGAGCTATGGTATCGCCCATAAATGTGTTGTCAACTAGTCTACAATTTTACTATAAAACTAAAAATCCTTAATAAATTTGAAATTCAATTTTATATAAACTCCTTTCATTCATGTTAAGGGTAATGTGCTCCCTTACAGCTAAGTTTTATTCCTTTAAAATTATATATTCCTTTAAAATGATATTTACCAGAGTTTAACTGGTATTGTAAATTTTAACATTTATAAAACTTCACCTAAATTGGTTAACTAGAAAAATTTTTACTTACCATAATCAGAATGTGGCAGATTTAACCTGTGCGTTTAGAGAACTCTATACCTGGTAAACCTTTATGGTATAAATGTAACTCAGACATGCCATGTTAGTCCTGGCTGTATATTTCAGTGGATAGAGCTCCAGCCTACATATGGGTCTGAGAAGGGTCTTGAGGCATGCCCCTGGTCAAAAGCATGTACCTTGGTTGTGGGTTCCATCGCAGTTGGGCCCAATCAGACAAGCAATCGATGTTGATTTTTCTCTCTCTGTCCTCCTCTCTTCCCCCTCCCTCCCACTCTGTCTGAAAATCAATGGGGAAAGTATCCTTTGGTGAGGATTTTAAAAAATTAAAAATAAAACTGATACAAACCTGCATAATACAGCATGAGTTACTTTAGGACTAATAAAAAGCCCATTTTTTTTTTCATTTTGGTTTAGACTTTGCAACCAAATTCTACTTAATATTGAAAAACTTAAGGGCTTTAAGTGTTAAAGATCTTGTAAATAATCTAATTCCACTCTTATATAGTTGAAGAAATTAAGGCCCATATTAAGTGATTTGCTCAAAATACATCAAGTATTAGAGCTAGGATAATCCAATATATTGCTATTTCCATTAACCATGTTTAGTAGACCATTTTAGAAACTTTGGTAAATTAAAATAGATTTTAATATATGTAACAGAAGAAAAACTCAGTTTAAATGAAAAAAATTCCAGAAGACATTATAGGAACTTTAGATTTTACATAATTCCTATGTAAAAAGAAACTATATTTGTGAAATTCATCTATTGTATAATAGAAAGATGCTAAAAAAGACATTTTACAATGGCAAAAAACATACACTGAGATTCCACACCAATTTTTATTTATATTTTGGGGCCTAAAACAAATCTTATAATTATTTCTTCCAAATTACATTTTATGCTCTTAATGGTGTGGTTCAACCCCATTCCACAATAACAAATATGATGAATACACTAGAAATGTGTTTGTTTGTTTTTAATTCTTATGACAGTTTTTATTAACTAATCCAGACCAATGATTGTCTCAAAAGCTGTATCTATTAATTTTCTGGTGGTGTTATTTTGAAGATTTCATAATTAAATTATACATTTAATGAACTTATGTGTAAGTTTTAGCATTCACATCCCAAATCATGGAAGACCTATTTTATAAAATCTTACCATTCAAGGTAAACATACTTCATTACATGTCAATGAAATGATGAATTCTCTAAATTATCCATTAAAAAAACCAAATATCTATAACACTAACGTGTCTACTAATAATCACACACATCATGACTGTGTTTTTAAAAATAGCTACAGATTTAATAAGAGGCTTGCATATTATGGCAGAGTAAATAAAGCTTTCAAATACTGCTTTTGGCTCTAGTTCATATCTTGCCCAAAAATGTGCATATCATAGCCAGCAGAACTTTTCCGTAGAATTTTATTTTGAAAATATTATTTCACTTGAAGATTGATCTAAAAAACATTTTAAGATATGAAAATGTTATACAACTTATCTATTACAAATTAATTGAGTAATTCTACAATTAGGTATACCATGTTAGCTCACCTACATAAAAAATATTGCACACTTTCCTTTATTTTGTCTCCAGATGTGACTGATGTCTAAACTATATAGAATTCTAAACTATTTAAAAGTTATCCTGTGAAATGTCAACTTTATAAATATCAGAACTGAATGCACTGTAAAACAACCATTTTGGTAAACATGCATTTATTCACAGTTGATTTATTTCCTCTAGATAAACGCATAACTGCTCAAAATTATTTAAGAACTATGTAGAGGTACAAGAGCACACTATACAAATCTATTTCTATCTTTGTTTTGAGGAAATACTGATCTTGGCAAAATTCTGGCTTATTTTAAAATTAACTATTGCTGGTAAAAAGGCATACTTTAAAACATTTCTGTGACCTGCACCTGCTCTTTTAAAATTAAAATTTAAAAGCATTTGTTTTTAGAGACTTCTCTGATTTTTGTGGCATAAGTGAATAATCACATAAAAATGAACCCTGAAAGCAGCTGAGCATTAAAATACCTATAGAGCCTTCATTTTACTCATAAGATATAACTGCCTTAAATTTCTAGACTACTCACCGAGCCTAATTTTAAGAAACAAAACAAAATCATTTTAAATTATGAGACTGACACAGCCTGCATAATATAACGTTTCTCCACAGAGCTGGTCATATACTTTAAAAAATATAAATATATTGAATTGTGAGTTTTATTTCTGTAATAACCCCAAAGTGTTTCAAATACACTTCTAAAACAGAAGTGGGTAATTGCAGAATATAGTTCCAGACTTGACTAATAGAGTCAAACATAATCATTCCTTATAATAACCCTAATAGGTACACTGGCTTGATTGAATCCAGCAATTTCATTTTACAGGAGTGAACCATACTTTATACACAAAGAGAATATATTACTTGAAAATCCCCTAAATAGGAAAAGTTTAGAAAGCTGTCTAATGATTCCAAATAAAAAGTTAATGTCTATTTCTGGCCCTCTTCCACACCCTTAAAGTTGGAATTTGACAAAAATCCATGGGTACAAATTTACAAACTTTGACAGACTATTGAGATAAAACCATTTTCTTTGGGGATATGGAAGGAAGTACCTTTAAAACTTGTTATACAAAGTTCCAGCTGCCTTTTTATAAAAGTACGTTCCTTAGATTAAAATCATAAAATTAAGGTGCAAGAGGTTAACAAAAATGAACTAAAGAGCTTTATTGACATCACAGTACATTCAAGAATAATTTTAAGAATATTACAGCTGAAAGAGAATGGCATGTTTATAGTCTTATTGTGCACTATTTTTTGGAAAAGAAAAAAAAAGTAATACAAAGAAATCCTATTAACGGAGCAGCATTTGGAAAAAGTATACCTATTTACAGATTAAAAAAAAAAAAAATTCTGGTTTCACCTACACAGCCACAATGTGCCTCTATAATGAGACAAGCCCTTAAAACTCATGGAATTTTTTAAACATCATGGCATTCTTGCCACATCATTCCTCAGCGTTTGCGACGAAGAGGGGTTGTTGATCTGAAAAGAAAAAAAAAAGGGAAAGACAAAATTTAAAAATAAAAATGTATTTTAAACTAAAGAATCTAATTTTTAAATAACTAATATTATATTTCTAAAATTATTTAAGACTATGATCATTTATCAAGTACCAATCTGAGTTTATTAAAGAGAGAGAGAAAGGACACTTTCAACTTTGAATAAATTCAGTCAAATTTTTAAAAAAATCAGACAAAATACTTTAAAAAGTATACTACCTTGATCGGGACTTAGACTTGTGTTTGCGGCTTGCCTTCTTACCAGACCTTTGAGATTTCTCCATGGATCGCGATCGACTATGTTTAGGCTTCTTAGCCTTCTTTTCTTTGCTACTTCCTGGAGATTCAGAACTGCTCCTTCCACTAGAATCAGAGCCTGAATGTTTTTTACTATCTTTGGTAGTACTTTTCTTACTATCCTGTCTAGAATCATGTCTGATGATTTTAACAGATATAGAACCACTTCTAGAGAATGTTCTTTCACTTTCTCGTTTCCTTTTTAACCTATCATCCTGACCACTGAACTTAAAATCTTTTTCTTCCCTTTTTTGTTTCTCTTTTCTTTTATCCTGTTCACGCTCTCTTTCTTTGTCTTTCTTTTTCCTATCTTTATCTATACTTCGACTTCTCTCTTTTTTCCTCTCTTGTTCTTTAGCCTCACCTTTATGTTTATGACTGCTCCCACTAAGATTTCCACGTTGGTCATCAATTTTACGTCTATCTCGACTCCTACTGCGACTGGACCGATTGGTTCGCCTATCCCTTGAGCGACTTCTACTTCTACGTCTCTCTCGGGAAGGACTCCGATTTCTTCGTCTTTCTCTTTCAATGCTATTTCTATTAGATCTTCTCCTATCTCTAATCTTTATCCTAGCCCTATTGCTGTCTATTTTAATTCTGCGAGGGTAACTTCTACTCCTACTACGTCTAGCTTTAACTGTTGGAGATCTACTCCTACTGTGTCTCTTTTTCCTTTTAGGAGAAGAAGATCGAGAAGATGTGCGACTACTACCTGAGCTAGAACTGTATGAAGAACTAGAGACAGTACTACTAGTACTACTAGTCCTGCTATTGCTACTAGAACTACCACTACTAGAACTTTCTGATCGGCTCCTTCCTTGTTTCTCTTTTTCTTTATGATCTTTTTTTGGTTCTAAAACTGATGTAGTTTCATTTGGAGTTCTTTTCTTTTCATTAACCACGTCACCGTCTGTTTCTCTTGCTTCTAGTAATGATAAACTATTTTGCTCTTTGTGTATAAATTCATTCATCTCTTTTGTAACCCTTTCAGCTTGTTGCTTTTCTTCTGAAATAGAAAAAAGACAAAAATATTAAGTCAAATGTACAATGAAAAACTCCCATGTTACCAGAATATAACAACAGAGCAAGCCATAGAAGCAATGTCAAATGTTCTAGTACTACATTAAAAAAGTGAAAATAAAGTTAAAATTTTGTTTTATAAACCCAATACCATAAAAAATATTATTATTTTGACATGTAATCAATTAAAATAAATATGGAAAAATTTTTTTTCATTAAAAGTCTTTGTAACTTAGTGCATATTTAATACCTACAGCACATCTCAACTTAGGTTAGTTAACCTCCTGAACAGTATAGCCACAGAGCACCAAGGTACAGAGGCACATATGAAGCAAGAAAAAAATTTCCCTTTTGTCCAATAAAGGTGCTAAGGTAATAAGTTATTGACATGGAATTTTTGGCTGCAAACACTTAAGGATTACCTTTCAAATTGTCCAAATAAGAATATTCCAAAAATAAATTCTCTATTATCCCTAGCATCATTATGTAAACTATTAATAATGGTACTCATTACAGTAATTTATATAAAAACTTTTTAAGAAGTCCCCTATTATCTTTAATTATCCTAGCTATAAATTATTTTTTAATAGTTTTACAAATGTATTACCTCCATTTCAAAACTTTTTTTAAAGAACTTTAACAAGAAATAAAAATACACTGAAATAGCTTAACTTATACCCCATGATAAAAGTTTATCTTTCCTAACCTATATATTTTCAATACTACAATTAACTTTGAGTTTATATTTGATAAAAATTACAAATAAGCCAAAATCCTTAGTTTCAGTTACGACTCATTTATTATTTATAATGTAGCCTCAATTCCATCCTTTGATACTTTAAGTTGTTTGAAAAATGTAAAGAAACACAAACAAAACTGAACAAAATTAGGGGAATGTAAAAGTTGTACCTTCCATCTGTTTATCATGTAATAGCTGCTGTTCTTTTTCTTTTCTCCAAAAAGCTTCCTGTTTTTGCCGGATTCGGTGCCGTAATTCCTCATCGTCAGTGTCAGATGACTCAGAGCCTCTGTCACTCCTTTCATCTTCACTGTCTCCTGATCCATAACCTCCCAGTCCACCTGTGTGCATAAAGCCCAGTCCATCATATGGAAAAATTATTCTGTGCACTAAAAACGTTTTAAGGTCCAAGAAGAAAGCTCATTTCTTTTTTACATTGCATTTTGTTGGAAGAATCTACTTATTCCGGGTGGGGAGAAGTATAAAATCCAATGCTTAAGAAGTTCATAAGAACCGTCATGAAAATTGACACTTAGTATCTTACTCTTTCTGGAATATTTCATATATTTGTCACCATAAGTGAATCGTGATAATGGTTTTGTTTTTACTGTCCATGCTAACCAATAAAACCATTTAATAGGGTAGTAACAAAGTCTCACTAAAGCATAATCAATTCAACTACCTTAAAATTTATGATGATCCTAAAAATAATTCTACAATTAACTTTTTCATTGTTCAAAGCTTAGAAATCCCCAGGTAGTATGCTAAGTATTTTTCCCCTTAAAAAAATTAGAATACTGTAATTCTGACTGTGCAGAAATGGTATGATGCTAAAACTACTCCCCACCCTGAAGTGATCTCAATAGTAATAACAAAATCACATGGGCATTTGGTTCTAGCCATTTTTGTTGATCCTCAGAAAGATTCATTTTTGAAATAATGTGGAAAAGGCAAATTCAAGCTTTTATATACTTGATAATATAGCATGCAAATAGAAAACTATGAACACATCACTATTATGGTAATATAAGCTAAACCCTTTCCTCTATAGTAAACCTAACTTGCTGTAACACAACCTAAATAAAGGTCCTTAAAACCATTAGTGGATAGGTTCCTCTCTAAGGCAACAATTTTGAAAGTGAGTTTAAATACTAGCATCGCTAAATTATAACTATTACAACTTGCCTCGCCTCATTAACTGTGAATTAGTCACCACATTTACAATAATTCCACTGTGAATGCTTTAGAAAAAAAAGGCAAACCTTTTAGAGACTGATATAACCCTAAGATCTCAGGTTTTATAAACTGAGTTGGAACAGTAGTTTCAAATAGAACATGTAGAGAGACAAGGTAAGTGTGATTTTTCCCTTTAAGGCCCTCTTACAAATAAGGACACTTACCGAGTCCAGTGAGGGAAGCCAGTGCACTGGACTGTGCCAGCTGTTTTGCAGGAGCTTTGTATCACATCAACAACAGGAACAACATGTTAACACAAATAGCCACGATTTCATAGTCATGAGAGTCTATGGTATTGTTAAATCTACTACTATTGCTGCTTCTTGGGGAGAGAAGAAACATTAAAAACATAACATTCATTTTAAACCAGTAACAAGTCTGGCCTTGAAAGTATAATTCTGATGTGAGTTGAAATTTATTTGTAATGAGGAAAAATGTTGACAACATAACGGTATTTTTCTTTTTGAGATATGGCCCATAATTTAAATTTGCTTTCAGTCTATTTTTTTTAAGTACTACTAAATATATGGGGGCTAGGTGGGAAAATCACTAACTAGCTCTGTAAGAATTATAGGAGGTAAACTGTGAAAACTCTGAAGGTTCATAATTCAATTCATTAGTAAAACTAAACTGCATTAGAAATTATACGCCAATACCATGGTATCTATAAAAAAAAAATCAGGTGAAATAAATTGAACATCATCAAGAATTTTCCAAAATATATTTTATAGAACAACAGTGTAATTATGAATTTGTGCTCACAGAAGTTGGACAAAACAAAAATATCTGTATAGTTGCAATATGGTATCTATAAATCTGAACTTTCCAAAAGAGTAAAACATGCAAGAAGAGAATATTTGAATATCTGCTACTATTTCAACAAGGACAACAAAAAAAGTCCAAAAGAGCCACCAAAACCATAACACCCCCAGAAAAACAAAGCCAAAACACCCACAATATACCTTTTGTTGCTTTCCGGTGTGCATCTTTGGCTACATAATAAATTTCTTCATCTGTGACATCCAGTAGAATTTCAGTCAAAAGCATTTTTGTCAGTAACATCTAAGGAATATATAATGTTTCTAATTAAATTATTATAGTTACTAATAATACAGTCTGACATTTTATTTATTTATTTATTTTTAAATATATTTTTTATTGATTTTACACAGAGAGGAATTGAGAGGGATAGAGTTAGAAACGTCGATGAGAGAGAAACATTGACCAGCTGCCAAGGTATGGGCCCTTGACCGGAATTGAACCCGGGACCCTTCAGTCCGCAGGCAGGCGCTCTATCCATTGAGCCAAACCGATTTCAGCAGTCTGGCATTTTAAAAAAATATGTAAAACCTTAATAAAGAAAAAACAAAACAAAAAACTAGCCTGTACTAGTGAAAAAAAAAAAAAAAAAGGCAAAGCTTTATTTTCTAAAGCATTTCAGATCAGTCATTCCAACAAACAGAATATCGTGAAAATAGTTCTAAATTACAAGAATTTTGCCGAGACCGGTTTGGCTCAATGGATAGAGCGTCAGCTTGGAGACTGAAGGGACCCGGGTTCAGGTCAAAGGCATGTACCTTGGTTGCGGGCATATCCCCAGTAGGGGGTGTGCAAGAGGCAGCTGATCAATGACTCTCTCTCATCAATGTTTCTAGCTTTCTATCTCTCTCCCTTCCTCTCTGTACAAAATCAATAAAATATATTAAAAAATTAAAAAATAAATACTCTAAAAAAAAAAAGAATTTTAACAAATTTCAAAATCATATGGATTAATAAATAAATGAGTTTATTTCTATAGAGACACTAAATTATAACTCTAGGGACAAAACATTAAAAAAATCCCTATTAATAAAAATTTCCATTGGTGTTTTAAGTGGATAGACATATCCTTTCATTTAATACTATTAGTAAGCAACACAACACTTGCTTCTTAGTCACTTAGGAACTTAACCCTCAGCTCAAGGTAAAATTTGAGGAGAAAATAAGAAAAAGGCAGTTATTTCATTTTGTCAAATGAAGTTCTTTTTTTCTTGAGTGCTGCAATATAGGATACAATAGACTTGAAACAGAGCTGGATTCTAACAATGGTTTGGCTATCAACAGCTCCTTCAAATGTAGACTATTGTTCCTTTGCTTCTCTGGGCTCCAGATCATAGTACTAATCTCTGGAAATGAGAGTGCAGTGAAGCCAAATCTTCTAAACACATTCCAAAGATTACAGGTCTTTCAATATGAAAAACACAGCAGTTTAATATTCCTAATCTCAGAAAAGGAATAAACAGATATTAAAAGCTTTGAGAGAAGTCTTACAATGAAGAAATACATTTACCTGTGTTTCCACCCCAGTGCTTTGTAAACTTATTCTATGAAGTCTTTTAATTTTTCCCATTATTCAAAAAACACACTTTAGCCCAGCCAGCATACTCAATGGTTGAGCATCGACCTGTGAACCAGAAGGTCACAGTTCCATTCCCAGCCAGGGCATATGCCCGGGTTGCAGGCTTGATCCCCAGTGGAGGGTATGCAGGAGGCAGCCAATTGATAATATCATTGATATCTCTCTCTCTCCCTCCCTCTCTAAAATCAATAAAAATATACATATATTAAAAAATACACTTTAGAAAATAACAGACATATTGTCCCTTATAGTAAAACATTATTTAATTACAACATTGGTATAAGGAAATGTGCTTAGGAATTGCTTTAAAGTTGTGATTTCGTTTTAGATGTTATTGGATATTGTAGACATTATCGCCCAGGAAATATATAAATCAATACATATTTCATACTTGTTTCATGAGTTCTTAGTATTATATAAAAGCTTAAGATACCAACCAATAGTTTTTAAAAATTATACCAGGTGTAGCAGTTAATAATGTGGATTTTGTAATCCAAGAAAACATGATAATTTCAAGAGAAACTTCACAAGTACTTTATTCAAAGTAATGTTCATCACTAGCTACACATTTTCCCATCTTTCAGGTAATTTGTGGATACCATCCCAATAGAACTTTTGTTTTGAGGCAAATCATTCAAAGACCCAGTTTTCTATTTCTTTGTGGTTTTGAAGTGCTGCTCAAAAAGTGCATGTACCATCAATTGGAACAAGTGGTGATCTGAAGGAGAAAGTTCTGGTGAATACAGCGGGTGAGTTAATACTTTCCAGGCAAGATCTTTTAACGTGTCTTTAACTGGTATTGAAGTGTGTGATGGTGCATCATCATGGAGCAAAATTACTTTGCCATGTCTTCTGGCACATACTGGATGTTTCATGAACAAAGTGTGGTTCAAATTGATTACTTATTGTTGGGAGTGATCAGTAGTAACCGTTAATACTGATCGCTACAGACAACAAATAATCAATTTGAACCACACCTTTTTGATCCCACCAAACGCAGAGCATTGTCTTCTTTCCGAAGCGATTTCGCCTTTCAGTCGAAGTTGATGATTGACCTGGATCAATCCATGATTTTGTGAATTTGGGATTCTCAGAATAAATCCACTTTTCATCACCAATCACAATTTGATGCAAAAAAGACTTTCTTTCCTGCTATTGAAAGCAACATTTTACTGATGACTGCAGTTTTCCATTTGTCTTTCATTCAGCTGATGTGGCACCCATTTTCCTTCCTTTAAAATCTTTCCCATTGCTTGCAAATGATCGGAAATTGTTTGCTGAGCATTTAATCTTTCTGTAATTTGTTTTTGAGTTTGACGCGCATCTTCATCCAATAATGCCTGTAATTGTTGGTCTTCAAATTTTTTCACTTAACCTGGGCGATCTTTGTCTTTCACATCGAAATCATCACTTTTAAAATGTTTAAGCCAGCGTTCACAAGTATCCAAGTATCTTGAGATGGAGCATGTTCACCATATGCTTCCCAAAGTATAACCTTTTCTCCAAAATAATGAACTAAAACTTCCCTAAAATGCTCTTTTTTTTGGCACAGAATTTGACATTTTTAAGCATAAAAATATCTATGATGTTAACACCTTCAGCAAATTTGACATGAAGTTTTGAAGCTTGCTGTCAATACAACAAAATAGCATACATATCAAATCGCATATATATCAACATATGTGTAACTTCATCTATTGAAAAAAATCCAATTAACCGGTACACCTGGTAAACAAAATAAATCCTATAATATGTTCACATCAATTATACATCAAAACAATTTTAATAAAATAAATTTACATTTTTTACCATTTGATACTCTTTCTCTTCTTCAGTCATCTCTGGTTCACTTTGCTCTTCTTGAGGAACTGGAGATGGACTTCTGGTGACTTTTCCACTGCTTGCAGCCTCAACATTTTCAGTATCTTCATCTTCCTCATCACTATCCTAAAAAAAGTAATACTATGGGTAGCCCAAATTCATGCTTATAATCAATCATCATCTTGAACATTCTATTTTAAAACCCTAAGTTAAAAAGTGTATGAGACAGCCCTGGCCAGTTTCCTCGATGGTTAGAGCATCAGTCTCTGTACCAAAGGGTCTCAGGTTCTATTCCCACTCAAGGGCATGTACCTCATTTGCAGGCTCAATCCCCTGGGTCGGGCCATGTGCAGGAGGCAACCAGTAGATGTGTCTCTCTCACTATGCCCCCTCCTCTCTCTCTAAAAATTAGTGGAAAAAATATCCCCAGGCCACAATTTTTTTTAAAAAAAGTAATCGGTTTGGCTCAGTGGATAGAGTATCAACCTGCGGAATGAAGTGTCCTGGGTTCGATTCTGGTCAGGGACATGTGCCTTGGTTGCGGGCACATCCCCAGTGGGAGGTGTGCAGAAGGCAGCTGATCGATGTTTCTCTCTCATCAATGTTTCTGATTCTCAATACCTCTCTGGAAAAAATCAATAAAATATATATTTTTTTAAAAAACAAGCATATGAGCCCGAGTTAAGTTTGGCTCAGTGGATAGAGCATCAGCCCATGGAATGAAGGGTCCCAGGTTTGATTCTGATCAAGGGCATATTCCTTGGTTGTAGGTTTGATCCCCAGCCTGACCAGGGCACAGTAGGCAACCATTTGATGTGTCTCTCACATGGATGTTTCTCTGTCTCTCCCCCGCCCTTCCACTCTCCCCACCACACACACACACAAACACAAACACACACACACACACACACACACACACACACACACACAATCCTCTGGTGAAGATTAATCCAAAAAAAAGTGTATGAGAGAGATATATGAAAATGAAATTTCTAAGTTATGTTTTTGCATGATAAATTTCATATGGTAATTTAATATTATCTGAGAGGAAATGTGATTATAAGATGGTTTAAAATTATTTTAATTATTTTATTAAATTTGCTTTTTTTTTTAAATATATATTTTATTGATTTTTCACAGAGAGGAAGAAAGAGGGATAGAGTGTTAGAAATGTCGATGAGAGAGAATCATTGATCAGCTGCCTCTTGCACACCCCCTACTGGAGATGTGCCCACAACCAAGGCACATGCCCTTGACTGGAATCGAACCCGGGACCTTTCAGTCCGCAGGCCAACGCTCTATCCACTGAGCCAAACCGGTGCTGGCTGCTTCTTTTTCTTAGTCAAATTTTTATTGATTTTACAAAGACAGGAAAAGGAAGGATAGAGAGAAACATCGATGAGAGAGAAACATCAATCAGTTGCCTCCTGCACACTCCCTATTAGTGATTGAGCCAGCAACCCTGGCATATGCCTTTACCAGTAATGGATGTGTTGATGTTCAACCACTGAACCACACAAGTTGGACAAGCCTTTTTTTTAATCCTCACCTGAGGATATGATTTTAGAGAGAGAGGGAGAGAGAAAGAGAAATATCAATGTGAGAGATAAAAACATAAATCAGTTGCCTCCTGTATGCACCCCAAAAGGGGATCGAACCCACAATCTTTTGGTTCATGGGATGATGCTCCAACAACTTAGCCACTCAGCCTTAGTCCATTTTGACCTTTCTTTATAAATAACCAAAGCATATCATGCCCAGAGACTGAATTAATATCCAATATATCTGATGGCTGGAATGAGTGGCTTGTAGAACTACTGGTAAATGAACCACAATCAGATTATTCAGTGTTAATTTTACAGCTATAAATATAAGCTATTAAACGTAAGACAGGAAACCATAAAAATACTAGAGGAATCCACAGGCAGCAAAATCTCAGACATATGCCGAAAGAACTTCTCCACTGATAATGCCCCTAGGGCAATGGAAGCTAAAGAGAAAATAAACAAATGGGACTACATCAAAATAAAAAGCTTTTTTACAGCAAAAGAAACTATCAACAAAACAACTAGAAAGCCCACTGTATGAGAGAAAATATTTGCAAACGTTATCACTGATAAAGGTTTAACTCCAACATCAATAGGCAGCTTACTTATACAACTTAATAAAGGAAGATAAATGATCCAATAAAAAAATGGGCAACAGACCTAAATATCTTTTCTAAAGAAGACAGAAGGAAGACCAAGAGACACATGAAAACATGCTCAAAGTCACTAATTATCTGAGAGATGCAAATCAAAATGACAATGCGGCACCATCTCACACCTGTCAGAATGGCTATCATCAACAAAGGACAAGTGTGGATGTGGAGAAAAAGGCGAGGATGTGGAGAAAAAGGAACCCTCGTGCACTGCTGGTGCGAATACAGACTGGTGCAGCCACTGTGGAGAACAGTATGGAGTTTCCTCAAAAAACTGAAAATGGAACTCCCATTTGACCCAGTAATCCCACTAATAGGAATATATCCTAAGAAACTAGAAACACCAATCAGAAAGGATATATGCACCCCTATGTTCATAGCAGAACAATTTTCAATAGCTAGGATTTAAAAACAACCTAGGTGCCCGTCAGCAGATGATTGGATCAAAAAACTGTGGTACATCTACACAATGGAATACTATGCTGCCATAAAAAAAGAAGGAATTCTTACCATTTGCAGCAACCTGGATGGAATTGGAGGACATTATGCTAAGTGAAATAAGCCAGTCAATGAAAGAAAAATATATGTTCTCACTCATTTATGGATAATAAAGAACATTATAGAACATTATAAAGCGATGAACAAAAAGATAGATACAGACAGTAAAGCATCAAACAGACTGTCAAATTACAGCGGGAAGGTTAGGGAGAGGTGGGGAGATAAGAGATCAACCGAAGGACTTGTATGCATGCATATGTGCAAAACCAATGGATGCAAAACTCTGGGGGATGAGGGCATGTATGGGAGTGGGGGCAATGGTAAGATACATACACATATATCTTAATAAAAAAAATGAAAAAATATATATATAAGCTATTTACCTAAAATCATGTGACTTAAAATGAAAAATCTGTAGTCAGTTTCCATATCTTGGCTTGCCCTAAAATGTAGAGAAATTTGCTTCTATCTAGCTATTTAATGGACAGATAGATGAGAAATAAGGTCTACTTCTGATGGAAGAAATGCCAGCAGTTGTTTCTGTCACTGTGTAGGTGTTGCTTTCAATATCTAAATAGAGTATCTTGCCCTAGCTAATTTGGCTCAGTGGATAGAGAGTCGGCCTACGAACTGAAAGGTCCCAGGTTTGATTCCAGTCAAGGGCACATGCCTGGGTTGTGGACTCAATCCCCAATGGGGGGGCGGGGAGGCCTTGCAGGAGGCAGCTAATGATTCTCTCTCATCATTGATGTTTCTATCTTCCTCTTCCTTCCTCTCTGAAATCAATAAAAAAAATATATAAAACAACAACAAAAAACCCCAGTGTATCTTAAAAAGGGGACTCTACTTTAGGCAAAGAAATGTTCCATAGTCACACTCAGCAATCCTACTAAGTAGAAGACAAGATGATCGGCTAAATACTACTATGGATCAGCCGCCATTTGAACCAGAGAAGAATTCAAGTAACACAAGCCCAAAGGCATCATCTGTAAGAAGGATAATCTCCAAATCCAAACAATGTTTTGACACTTAAGAAAACCACCAAGCCTGGCCTGTGTGGCTTAGTGGTTGAGCTTTGACTTATGAACCAGGCAGTCAGGTTCAACCAGTCAGGGCACACACGCCTGGGTAGTGTGGGACGTACAGGAGGCAGTGAATCAATGATTCTCTGTCATCACGGATGTTTCTGTTTCTTCCTCTCCCTCTCTCTAATCAATAAAAATAAATTTTTAAAACAACAAAAATATACCACCAAGCCTGCAAATCCACTATTTCATGCAAAAATTTAAAGAACAAAATTTAAGGTCAACTCTTAGTAGTGGTAGTCTGTAGTTTCTTTATAACATCAAGAACAAAAACACATCTTTGGCATGGCTCTTTTGTAAAAATAAAAAATAATTTATGGCTTTTTATTGAATTTAAGCATAATCAATGTCTTCTTAAATCTGTAACCTTGCTGTTTTTAAGATTTATCTTTGAAGCAGAAAATAGCCTTCAGAGGAGGACCCTTTTCCTAAGTGGCATATCAGCCAGTGCTATAACTGTCCTACCAGCTAGGAGCACATTACTGCTAAATAAATAATTCCTATGCCACCTACGTGAAGATTTAAGTATTTAAAACAATGTTTCCTTCAGAGCTCATGTCAAAAAACTATAGACGGTAATATATCCTCTATTACAAGTATATATTTAAATGTTCAAAAAAAGGCAGATTTCTTTCTCTAGTGCTATTATATAAGTTTTGATTTATAAGCCACGACATGGGAGTTAGTTATACCACAACAAAAGAATACAAATGTTTGTCAATGTAAGACCTATCTCATGTCCCACTGAATAATTTCTCTCTAGAATAAAATGTTTTATAAACTCCCTGTACACTTTCTCCTTATCCTGCCCTCAAAAACACATCTATAATATAAAAAAAATAATACCAAATATACTTAATGAAGGTAATCTTGGGGAAAATTATTTTAATACTTTTCCACAGGCTAAAATACTTATTTCAATAACCTTTTCACATAGATACCAAATGGAATTTCAGGTGAAGTGATTCTACTCACAAATTTACTTCTCTGAGGTAAACGAGGGCCATCACCTCCTTCGGCATCTTCTGTAGTCTTCTTTTCTTTTTTGGACAACTGTGAACGCTGTTGTTCCATTCTTTCTTTCTCCAACTTCTTTTGCTTTTCACGTTCCATTTTTTCAAGACCTTCCCGAATCCAAGCTGGAAGAGTCCTGCGTTTTACTGCATCTGTTTCACACGGGAAAAAGAATATTTATAAGTCAGTTAAGTAAAAATCTAACACATGAGTTCTTTATTCCTGAATTTCTAACTTGTGAAATTTTTGGAAAAAGAATATTGGTGCCATTTGAGCATTTATAATAAATACTATCAGTCTCGAGCAAGACAGTGCTAATAAAAACAACCCATTAAACATCACACTTTAAAAAAAAATCACCACTTTTAATAGCAGCATAAGCATTGATTAATGTTTGTAATGTGCCAAGGCACTATGAAAGCACATTAAACTATCATCATCTAAATCCTAAAAAAGGCCCTAAATGATGACTATTACTTGGTCTCTTTTGCAAATGAGAAAACTGAAACTCAGATATTAAGAAATGTGCTCAAGGTTACAAAGCCAGTAAGCAGTGATATGGGCTACTTTAGAGCCAAACTTACATTACATTGCTTCTTAAAATATGAAGACAGAAGGGAGTCAAACAGAAGTCCATTTCACAAGTATACCATCTGGGATATTTTTTAATTTATTCCTTAAGTTATAAAAGAAGCAATAATCATCCTAAAATATCTACTTTGTGATAAAAGACTTAAATGTTCTGGTCCATTAAGTGCTGGATTTGGATTTCCAAATATATAACAAATACAAAATTTTTCATTGGGAATACGTTAGTCCTATTACTTAACAATTGAAATGTTCTGCAAAACACTTACGGAAAGTGAAATAATGAAAGGAAAATTAATCTTACAGCAGTGTACCAGATGAACTGAGAGTGGAAAGAATACAGAAAAAAAACTAGAGGCTTTTTTAAAAAGCAAAAATGCTCATATATCAGTATAATGTATCAAATTGTCAACATTGAAAAAAATCAAAATTCTATAGCCATGTTAACTTTATCTCATCACAAAAATTTATGTTTAAGGTAAAGTTTTATTTTAAATAAAATTATTCAACGATTTTAATATTTTAGACAAAATCTCCTCTTTGAAATTTTAAAGTTTTCTGACTCTAAAATAATAGAGTTTTAAAGGGTCAATTCCTAATATATCAGAGGTAGCAGAACAATTTAAAAAATTAAAACATCCTTTTAAAATGATCAAGAAACCATGCTAATGTAGTTCACTAAACTTAAATAACTACCAATTTGTGGAGGCTCCTGCTTCACAGGAAGTGTAATAGGTGAACGCTGCCGATCCCTGAATGATGATGGCCTTTCTCTTCGATTCTGGGGAGGTGCTGGAGGTCCTGGAGGTCCTGGTTGCCAATAAGGAGGATGAAATCCACCTTGCGGTGGACCAAAAGCAGCCCCATGCTGAAAGAGTATTGCAGTTTATTTTTCTTCACATTAATACAATATACACTCTGGGATACACGTGTGTTATGAACTGGGACAGTAGAAATCCATGTGTGCAGCAAATCCAAAAACTCCATAGTTCTAATATCCACCAATATTTCTGTAGCCCCAAGAACCTAAGCTCACTTTTCTTAAGTAAAAGACTTTCTGCCTAAATAAATTTGAGAGCCATCTAAAATCCTTCTAATACACTATTTTCAAATACAGAAAATAATATATATGAACTTTTTCATTCTGAATCCATTTATAAATTAATCCTTTCACTACCAAGACACCAAATAAATGTCAATTTTTCTGTAACCAAAAAGTTCAAGAAAATTTTTTTTTATCAATTCCAACTATAATTGTGAATGTAAGCTGTTTCTAAAACCTTGCAAGAAAGAAATATCTATTTTAAGTAAAGATAAAAGTTACTGAATCATTAAACTTCTTTTTTGTAATTTTGCCATTTTCGGAGGCATTTCTAAGCCATTTGCCGACCTCTTTGCCTTGTTAGCAAGGGGATCTCCCAGGAATGTGGTAGAAGCTCCCTGTCACAAAAAACTATCATATCTGCATACCAAGTATGCGTATGCAACAAGTAACTGAATATATGAATAAGATTACTACCTCAAGGTGAATATTGTTTACATTTATGTCTATTACTTATATAATTAGTGATATAATGTATTTTCAAAATTTTAAATTATGATAGCTTAGTTTATAAGGTAACCACTGCAATCAGTTATTTCAAAATGACAACTAGTACTATAATTTAAGAGTGGACCTTTGGCAAGTGGTAAGAAAAAAACAATGACACTATTCGCCATAGAGTTCTATGTCCCTAGGAATGAGTTAGATGCTACAAAAGAAATTATGTACAATCCTATTGACAAACATGTCATGTCAGAATGGAATAAAAAAGACAACACTACAAAAAGTCCTAACTTTACAGAGAAGGAATTGCATTTAGAAGATCTATATGCTTTAATTCTTAACCATAATCTATTATTGATAAATAATGTGTTCAACTACAGTGCATTTCCTAGACTTTATTGAACATTTAAATATTCCATTCTGAAATTATAAATTAGAAAATAAAACATCATATAACTATTTCACTTACACGTTTTTCATTTTATATAAATTTCCCCTAACAATGCTTTATGCCATTTTCCTAAGCAAATCAGAAAATAAAACTCTTAATGTTTTAATTCTCAAAAGTTGATAACTTTTCTGAGACATAATATGCACTTATCTGTATAAAACTGAAAAGTAAAACACATATCTCAGGTACTCTTGATGAGACAAACTTCCAAAGAATGGATTATGTGCACATCTACAGTATTAAAGCAACAAAATATCTTTCACCTGATAGTCAAACTGGTTCACTGGGCCCACTGCAAAATTATCGGGTGGTCCACCAAAGTTGTGATTGTTCTGGTTAAATATATGCCTGTTGTCAGGGGCAAATTCCCCACTGTCCTGACTGTTGCTGTCTTCGGAAGGAGGAACAATGTCCATTGGGCCTGGTGTTGGTGGCATCCATGGCTGATCTGGAGGGGGATGTGGGGGTTGCTGATGCATTCCCCATTCTATTTAGAATTTAGGCATAAAAACATTCAATAGGGAATTATAACAAAATCAACACAAATTTTTAAGCTCTCAAGAAAGCTAAATTTTTCAGTAAAGAAATAAATATAAAATTTATGACTTCTTGGTCAAATTACTTTTGTATATCTTAAAAATAAGCAATGAATTAATAAATCATTCAAATGAGGTAACACCACTCAATTCATATCCTAAATAAAAGCAAATGCCCCAAATTATATTTAATAGATGTAACACAACTCAAAACAATTTTGTTGTTGTTGAAGTTTTCTATTTCTGTTCAGTAACACCACCATAAAAATAATGCCTAGGGATTTATATATAATTTCTTTCTTCCATGAACACATTTATCCTCACAACACCCCTGTGAGGTAGGGGGAAATCAGGTATTATTTTTTGCCAATTTCAGGAAAGGAAATTGGGCACACAGAAATCAATCACTTGCCAGGGTCACAAAGAAAACCAGTAGATTTTAGAGCATAGTTGGGGAAGTGGATAATGCTAGGGTGAGTCATTTATAAACTTAGACTTGGGAACTAAAACATTTTCAAACTTGAGAAAGTTTAGTTTAGTATAGCTTCAAGAAAATTAGAAATGAACTACATCACAGTATAAAATATTAGAATATTCATATCCTTTTAAAAATGTTAGAGGATTACTTTCTGAGTTTTCCATTCTTATATTGAAAAGCAAAAATAACTACTAATAGGGAAAGGAGAGATGAGTTTACCATCAGCACATTTAAACGTAAGATTCCTCTATAAATAAAGTGACTATTAAAAATAATTAATAGCACAAGTTTTGGAAAACTGAAATAGCATCAAGGAATCTAATCATACTGTGAAGTAAAAAAACAAGCAAGCAAACAAACAAAACAGATAAAAACTTATGGAAGATCTTCACTATCTGAAAAACAGGGAAGTAAATATGGGTGGATGGTAGGGGCAGAGTATATTTGACAGACTAATCTGTCACATAGTGACACAATTTTTCTTTAGGAACTAGACATGTTTTGCTCTGCCAGTCCTGCTTCTGAAAGGCCAGAGGTTGCAAGAGAGAGATCATAGAATGCTCTCTTCCCTAGATGCCAAGTGAGGTTTCCAGTGTTCCCAGCCCCTGTCAGCCTAGGAATGAAGAACCAAGAAAAGAATCAAACTGAGTGCCACAGTGCTAGCAGACTGAGTACAGAATAATTTTAACCACAAAATTTCAAGGTCAAATCTAATTTAAACTGCCTATTCTTCAAGCATTGATTTCAAGCAGTCGTAAGACTAAGCAATTTAAACAATTTACTTTTAATCCTTGTATTTTAAAAATAATCCTAAAATTTTGAAAACATAAACAACAAACCTGGTTGCCACATCCTGTTGAAGTTTGAATCCCCTTGAAAATTCCCATGATTGTTTGGACCAGATTCCATTGTCGACATATCTTGTCCATTTGGCATCATTCCTGGTGGTTGTTCTACCATGCTTTGCTGTCCTGAAGCTTCTCTTTGGGCAATCCAAGCTTGAGCCAATGCAGCCCAATCAATCTGGCCTAATATAATATAGCAGAAGTGAACATTCAGAATGTAGAAGCTAAAAGAATAGTGCCTCTATGTAAACTAAGCATCTCAGTAATTTTCTCCTGGAGATTTTAAGTATTACCAAGTGTTATGGCTGAAAGGATGCTCAGATAACCTATATTCAGGCTACAAAATAAAACAAACCACTTAAGACTTTCTGAAAAGGATTCCATAAAAACACTCTTAACCAATAAATTTCTAATATTAACTCATAAGAAATTTATCCTCTGCACTTTGTTTACTGATATATATATATATATATAAATGTTTTTATTTGATTTTAGAGAGGGAGGAAGGGAGAGAAACATGAATCGGCTGCCTCCTACAGACCCCCTCACCAGGATTGAGCCCGAAACCCAGGCAGTGTCTTGACCCGGACCATCGACCTTTTGGTTGGTGCATGGGGTGATGCTCAACTAAGTGAGCCTCACCAGCCAGGGCATTTACTGAGTTTTTTAAAGTCTTATTCCTTTTCTTTCTTTCTTTTTTTTTTTTTTAAACAAATAATCAAACTCACTCATTTCTTCCTCAAATAGGTCCTCTTCAGGCCTACACTGGATTCTACAGATCTCAGATGAGTATAACTACCCCTATTCCTCCTCATAGTCACCCTTTTTTAGTTTTTGGCTCCATTCCTAGTCAAAATACCTCTATTAACAACGTTATCAGTCATTCTTTACTCAAATTTAGTTCCCACTAATTTAAGGGCCTCCTTTATTTCTCAAATATCTGTATTTAACATTTTAAGATCTAATATTATTAATAAAGGAAACAAAGTAAAATAAGATAATTTTCACATCTATTTAGTCAAGATTAAAACTATTCTTATACATTTTTAAAAAATATTTTTTTTATTGATCTCAGAGAGGGAGAGGGAGAGATAGAAACAATGATGAGAGAGAATCATTGATTGGCTGACCCTTCTGGGGATTGAGCCCACATGAGCATGAGCCCTGTCTGGGAATCTAACTGTGACCTCCTGGTTCATAGGTCGATACTCAACCACTGAACCACATTGCTGGGCTTATTCTCATACATTTTGATGGAAACATAAATTGCCATAATTCTCATGCAGTTAAACTTGGCAGTATCTACCTAAAACTTTCCAAATATGCAACTGTGATCTTGAAAATAAAAATAATTGAACACATGAATAATGATATATATATAAAGTTATAATTATTTTCAAAAGTAAAAAACTAGCCGAAACCGGTTTGGCTCAGTGGATAGAGCGTTGGTCTGTGGACTGAAGATTCCAGGTTTGATTCCGGTCAAGGGCATGTACATTGGTTGTTGGCACATCCCCAGTAGGGGTTATGCAGGAGGCAGCTGGTCAATGTTTCTCTCTCATAGATGTTTCTAGTTCTCTATACCTCTCCCTTCCTCTCTGTAAAAAAATCAATAAAATATATATATATTTTTTAAATAGTAAAAAACTATAGCCCAGCCTGCGTGGCTTAATGGTTGAGCATTGACTCATGAACCAGGAAGTTACAGTTCAATTCCCGGTCAGGGCACATACATGGGTTGTAGGGTCAATCCCCAGTAGGGGCTGTGCAAGAGGCAGCCAATTGATGATTCTCTCTCATCACTGATGTTTCTATTTCTCTCTGAAATCAATAAAAATATATTTTAAATAATAAAAATGACAATCAACCAATCATCCAAAAGTGGACCAATTAAATTACAGTATATTCCTATAATATATAGCTATGCAGCTACTGAAAAAATAAGTTCAGATTAACCTAATAAAGGCAGGGCATTGGAAGGGATCATATCAATGAAACAAAACTGGCCATAAGTCAGTAACTATTAAAGCTAAGTAACAAATGGGGGTTCCCTATACTCTTTTTCTATATCTGTATATGCTTGAAATGTTCCATAATAAAGAGAAATGATTTAGCATACCATTGGTTGACTATACTCTACACTGAATTATAACATTCAGAATTAAGAGAAGTATACTTTACTTAAATTACACGTTTAAGAAAGATTTTCTACTTTCTTAGAAAAAAAGAACTAAATCAGTTTTAAAGATTAAATACCACAAAATGATCCAATAAACCAATTCCATCCAATTCCATCTTTCTTAATCCCATTGAATTATTTCCCACTCTTCCACATCTCTCTCCTCGCCCACCCCAATTTCAGTTTATTTCCTTACTTGGATCCTGCTGGTGCTGGAATGACTGCATCCACTGCTGCTGGTTCAATGGCCATTGCTGCCAAGGCTGTCCTCCTTGATCCCACATCCTGACTTTAAAAATATATTTGATTTTCTATCTTCAACAAGATGAACATAGTTTAAAAATGAGAATAAGAGTTCTTTAATTTTAAAAACTCACACAGAAATTATTATACGACAATATATGTGATCAGAGCTCTAAAATTCTGGTCAATAGGTTGCCAGAGGCAACTGGAATTTTTAGGTTGGCAAGCAAAAGTAGAAAATTTCATGTTAATACTGGTGTCAGAATTTGGTGGTAGGCAGAGCTCAAATCAATTTAACTCAAAAAGAAAATACTAATTTTTCCCAATAGAAATCTCTTGAAATATAATTATTTTGAATAGAAAAAAAATGTGATTTCATCTCCCCCAACCAAGATTCCTTGAAGAGAGTAACCAAATAACTCTAATAATGAAGGAGAACTCTCCCTTATAAATAACCATGGCTAGTGAATGCTTAAGGTAAAATCAATTAGAAAACTGCTATATTGCCAAACCTAATAGAACTGATTCAGACAATCTTAGAAGCATTGGAAAAATCACAAATGGGAAAGTTGTCAAAATATCACCCTAAAGATTTAATAATCTGTAATAGTGCCTCCTCATAAGATACGATATTATATCCTCAGAATCATTTAAATAAATACTTTCACCAAAAATGTTTAATTTAATCCAACTGAGCTTTTCTATCTTACTTCTAGTGTGAAGGAACTATAAGGGGATAAGGGAATGAGATAAACAGTATCAAAGAAACAATCAGATAAATTCAGAGGGTGAGGTAATTTACTGGACCAGGTTTCTTAACATGAAAACAGCATGAAAAAGACTGGGGAAGAGAACATATATTAACAACTATTAAATCCAGATAATGGATATGGGGGAGAGGGTAATCACATTAGTTCACCTTTCTGTAAACTAGTTTGAGAACTTTCATAACACAAATTTTAAATTTCTAAAAGTCTACATCTTTTACTTTATCCAACACTGACATAAAACCATCTTCAAGAACCAATGACACACGATAGGCAGCATATATTTCTTCAGTTTGTACCATAGGGCTTAGATAAAATAGGGATTAAATAAATGTTTACTAAACAAATCCTCCTAGACTGACCCTTTCCTCCATAAACAACCTAAAAGCTTTGATATTGCAGGATTACAAAAAATAGAGAAGCCAGATAAGGAAGCAAGTCACACCAACTCAAGTGAGACAGTTGGCTATTATAACTCAGGCTCTTAAGAGTTTGCAACACTAGACTTTGTAGCATTTTTATAATTCTATCAATGGCAGATGCTGACTTCTCAATTGAAGAGCACTGTGAATTAGGGAAGATGATTTCATTTGTTATCTTGACTTACTTAAAAATTAAGTGCACTTTTCTTTTGGTTGTATGAATATAGTCTACAATAAAGGCATTATTAGCGTATGGCTAAAGAGACACTACACAGCAACCCAGTTGAAGCCAACTGAATTGGTTAAATATACTTATCTAATCTCTCTTGAGATTTTCATTCTTCTCCCTATTACCCACCCCCTCTTCTTTTCCAACTACTATACCTTTAAAGCCCTTTAAAAACTAAATAACTCATTACAGCCCCTGAAAAGTAACTTCACTTATAACTTGAATTAAAAGGTAACAAATAAAAAAGGAAACACCCCAAAGAATTATCAACTGATATTTTGACTGACCTTAGAGATTCACCTTCTGTTTAAAATTTAGACAGATTCAGACTACAGCTTGGAAGCATAGCAGCAAAATTACTTATGCCCTGAAAAAAAAAGAAAAGAATATAAGTTTGCTCTTAGATTATGAAAAATTAGAAAAGATACTTTAGAGATGTAACATGAAAATGTGATCATCTCCAAATTATTTTGGAACTTTTTCTTTTATTAACTATAATGAGAGGTATTTATTATTATAAGGTTAAGGGAAACGGGTACATCAGAAATGGAAAGGCAACATTTTTTTTTAACATTTTTTTCTTTCAAAATATCTTTTTTATTTACAATAAAATATCTCAATTTACTAACAATAAAAAAACATTATCAAACTATTTAGGGATTGTCAAATATGCTGAGAAAAAAGGAACAAATATTTGAAAAGAAGGTCTCATCCACCTGGTATTAGCTTAAGTGGTACAAGTAAAGCAATAGAATGCATTAATTCAGATTTTCCTATGGAATTTTAAGTTTAAAATTAACAGTTGTAAGGTGACAACAATCTGTCCCTCAAACAGATTCTTCCCGTTAGGATCACAGCTTTTCATAAGTTGATAGAAAGACAAATCTATTCATCTTTTATCTTCCATAAAGTACAGGACAGCTTTCTCCACATAGCAATCACTAAACACCAAACAAATAAATGATCTATAGCTCCATCTTCCTGTCTACTTTCAATAGATTAAAGAGAAAAAGAAAAAAATATACAGATTTTCTAAGATATGAAGAATTAAAGAAAGTTGATCAGCACAGTCCATAATGACTGGTATAAGCAATAACAATTATACAAATCATGTAAATGTGAGAATTTGGGCAAATTACCTCTGTGTCATTTTCTTATGAGGATCTGGAATAATCTTCTGTTATCTAGTTCAAAAAAGGTACCTCTGATTATGAAAACAAAATTTAGAGTTATGCTGAATTTTGTAAAGTGACAGGTTTTAAGGAAAGATTTGGTATACTTGAATGTTTAATATAAACTTGAATTTATGTTTCAGCATTTGAACAATGCTTGATAGAGTTTCATTAATTATCCTTAACTCAAGAAGAAAATTGTGATTTGATGGAAAGGATTTAAAGGCCCCACCCTGCCAGCGTGTCTCAGTCGTTGAGCATCGACCTATGAACCAACAGGTCATGGTTCCATTCCCGGTCAGGGCACATGCCTGGGTTGCAGGCTGTCCACAGGGTGGGACATTCGGGAGGCAGCCTATCAGTGATTCTCTCTCATCATTGATGTTTCTATCTCTCCTCCTCCCTTACACTCTGAATTCAATAAAAAAATATATTTAAAAATAAAATTCCTTCATTTTCACCATAAAATCTACAACAAATGCAAAATCTGGAAAACAAAAGGAATATGAAGGCACACCTGGCAATAATAAAATATATATTTATCTTTTAATTTAATTATGGTTTAGAGAAATAACATAGCCTTGTTATTGGCTAAAAATGACATTTACATATTGGCTTAATAATGATTTGGGAAATAACTGTTAAAGATGGGTAAAAAGTACATTAGGGTTTGTACTCTCTGAAAATTCCCACAATAAGTTAAAGATAATAAAACATACTTGTTATAGAGAAACTTATATTGAATTTTCATGTGTTTTTGGTTTGTTTTTTGTCTTGGTTCACATAAGAATCTTCTGGAGGAATAGAGGAAATCTTATAATTATTTAAAAATTCCAGTGTTTTACCCATAGTATCATTTTCCTTTAGCCTTAATATAAAGATCCTTAGTCTCAACTTCTCAAGTTTGTAAAAATTTGTTTATTGTGGAGCCAGACTGTAAGTTTCCCCCTTTATGAGGCTTAATTAACTGCTATTTCCTTGGAAATAACTGGGATTTGGAAAGAAAAGAAAGATCATTAACCACTGTTTGCATCAGATCATCTTCAGGCGTCTTCAAACTACGGCCCGTGGGCCACATGCGGCCCGCAGAGGAGTCTGATCCGGCCCGCCAGGTTTTTTGGGCAGTGAGCGCAGCCGAGGTGTTACAGTAGGAATTAGTAGTTCATATAGTCCGGCCCTCCAGCTCTCTGAGGGACCGTGATCTGGCCCCCACTTTAAAAAGTTTGAGGACCCCTGAAAGTTATCACACTAGGCTATAAAAATCTAGTTAATAGCTACTGTGTTTCCCCAAAAATAAGACATCCTCCGAAAATAAGACCTACTTACAGGTTTCCTTCTGAGTGAAATATAAGGCATCCCCCGAAAATAAGGCCCCCCCCAGGCTAAACATGAGAGATTTGGTCCACTGATTCTGAAAGAAATGGAGTCACAAGAAAATCACCAGGAAATTCAGGAATTGGATTGTTACGATGATGTTCCAGAAAGTGATGACATGATTGTCATTGAATAAATGACTAAATTCTTGATACTGTAGAATTCAGTTTGTCTGGTTTGTGTTGACAACTACCGTACTACCGTATACAGGTAATTTCCTTTATTTTTATTTAACAATAAATGTGTACCGTATTCTTCTTCATGGAAAAATAAGACATCCCCTGAAAATAAGACCTAGCGCATCTTTGGGAGCAAAAATTAATATAAGACACTGTCTTATTTTCGGGGAAACAGGGTATGTCTAGTGTTATAGATTGAACAGTGCCCCCTGGGAAATATGCTTAAGTCCCTACCCTCACTCCCATAAACTATAAATGTAATCTTATTTGGAAATAGGGTCTTTGCAGATGTGTTCACGTTAAAATGAGGTCATACTGGATTAAGGTGGGTCCTAATCCAATATGGCTGGAGTCCCTATAAGAACACACACCACCACCACCAACACCACCACCACCACCATGTAACTAACCAAAGGAGCAGAGACTGGACAGACATATTTACAGCCAAGGATTGCTGGGAACCACCTGAAGAAGCTAGGAAGGATCCTCCCATACAGAGAGGAGAAGAGAGTGAGAAAGGGACAGAGACAGAGACAGAACAAGCAAGCCAGAATGGACAGACTTCTAGCCTGGAGAACTGTGAAATAATACATTTCTGCTGTTTTAGGCCCCTGAGTTTGTGGTAATTTGTTACAGCATCCCTAAGAAACTAATACAACCAAGAAACAACCATCATTCATCATACCCATTTCTTAGATGACAATATATTAGAACACTGTGTTTTGAGGTTCTTAAAAATAGCTGTTTAAATGACAATCACCGATTCTGTGATAAAATGAACATGTAATTTTTGTTGTTGTTGTTAATCCTCACTGGAGGATATTTCTTGCATTGTTTTTTAGAGTGGAAAAGAGGGAGGGAGGGAGGAAGACAAAAGAGAGAGAAACATGGGTGTGAGATACATCAATTGGTTGCCTCCCATACAAGGATTGAACCTGCAACCCAGTTACTTGCCCTTGACCCAGAATCAAACCTGAAACCCTCCTATGCACCAAACCTGAAACTCTCTTGTACACAGGCCAACACTAACTGGCCAGGGTGAAAATGTAGTTTTAAAGCCATTAAACATCAATTGCAAAACCAAAGCTATATAGAAGCACATCTATCCTTTGATACACATGGTCAAATGTTTCTCACATCAAATATAAAGTTTAGAAACTCCCAGTAATACAGACATAGGGGGAGGCATTCATTCTGAGGTCTATATCTTTGGTTTGTAGATGAATGCCTCCTCCCTATGTCCACATTACTGGGGAGATGACAAAACCTCGGTTCTTGTCTTCTTGATAGAAAGGTTTCAATCAAGAGACAAAGTATAGGAAAGCAAGCAATAATTTATTGACCACAGCAAAAACATACTTAGGACAGTGAAACAAGGACCATTTAGAGGCTAGGGGATATGTGCCTGTGGGGGATGTAAGGGGGAGGGAATGAATGAGGGTGCTCCTTGGAGGGAGAATGCACTCATCACCTTCATTTTCAGGAGTTTTTAAAGGATGGACATTTAGGGGAGAATCAACAGAATATTCGTCAGCTTTATGCTGATGTACCAAAATGAGATTTATTCCCTTAGTCTATCCTTGGGTGTGGTTGGAAAACTGCACTAATTGGATTTCTGTTACCTGTCTCCCAGAGTAGGATGATTTAAGCTATTTATCCTCTGGCTGGAGAGAAGTACAATTACTCTTAGGTGTCCACGATTTAGAGAAGATAGGATTTACTAGGGGCTGCAAACCTACCTGTTTCTCTTAGTTTCCCTATTCCAGAATGTTCTTGCTTCTTACTATTTTACATCTTTACATGCTCTTCCCTCTTAATCTTTTCTTGTAAGGACACCAGTCTTAATGGTTCGGGCCTACTCTAATGATCTCATTTTATTTCTTTATAGACACTATCTCTCTGCATTGCTTTTCAGAGTGGAAAGGAAGGAGTGAAGCAAAGGAGAAAGAAGCATGAGTGTGAGACAGCGTCACATTCTGAGGTTCCAAAGTTAGAATTCCAACATGAATTTTGGAGAAATACAATTCTGCCTGTAACAGTCACTAAAAACAAGAAAAGACTGAGAAACAGTCACAACCAAGAAAAGACTAAAGACATGTAATAACTAAATGTAATATGGTATTCTAAATGGGGGTCTTGGGACACAAGAAAAGAACGCTGGATTAAAATTTAGGAAACATGAATAAACTTGGGCTTTAGTTAATAATGTGTCAATACTGTGTCCATTAATAATAACGTATCCACTAATTGTACAACAAATGTATCATGCTAACATATAATGTTAATAATAAGAGAAACGCGCGCGCGCGCGCGCGCGCGTGTGTGTGTGTGTGTGTGTGTGTGTGTGTGAGTGAGAGATTGGGGGTTTGGATTATTTAAATCAAAAACCGATCTAAAAAAAAAGCCTATTAGTAGAAATAATAATTAATTATAGTTTCATGAACATCTTAAAAGAACTGACTTACTGTTGTTCCTTTCCCTGTAGCCCCAGGATGCTTTACAAAGCAGTCACACGAGTGAGGACTTATATAGTGTCCTGGTTTGTTATTATTGCTTTTGCCTTGCTGCACTCCAATCAGAAGAGTTATTTTGCTCTTTCATGAACTAACCGCCGAGATTCCAAATTTGCCAAGTGCCCAAGATGTTCAGGTGACAACACCCACCACGGGATAATGCAGCTAAAATCCTGGACACTGCCTCCTTCCCTCGTGAAACTTAATACACACAATGCCCATCACTGGATAAAACAGGAATACAAACTAAGGAAGCTAATTATAGTTAACAGGACGCGTTAGCCCGTGGCTGCGCCTGCGTAGTCGGGGCTGCACAGCGCAAAAGGTCCAGGTCCGGGTCCTCCGCCCCCTCCGCCCCCCTCGCCGCCCGCTCCCCACGGAGGGCGCCCGGCGCGCACGCGCAGTGCTCAACGGCAGGTCTGGAGCCCGAGAATTAGTCCCTTCTCATCCGAGAAGAAGACTCTCCTGGTTAAAAGGAAGGGGTGGAGAGCGCTCTCTTTCCTGGCAACATCTCCTTTCTATCGAGAGGGCCGGTTTGATCCACCAAGTCCGGCAGGCGCCGCGGCTTTAAGAGGGGATGGGGTTCCAGCGGTAGCGCCGTAAGCAGCCTACGTGTTTTAAGTTATGCTGCCTTCGCCGCAGAAACCAAGAAGTTTGTTAACGGCCCGGCGAGTCCCCCTGCGTAATCGTTTTCCCATCACTTACTCACTGTGATTCCGGAATACGGCTGCCGCCACCGTTCCTGTTAATACCTCCAACCCTTTCGCTGCTTCTACTTCTTCCCGAACAAGACAAGATGGCGCCCGAGTGGTCTCACCCGGAAGTGGTCATAACAACATCCGCCTGTCATCTGAAGCCGAACGGTTCCCGCCTCCAGGTCTCTGAGCACTGGACGGTGCCCGGTGTACGCGCTTCCGCGCCATGTTTGTTATGGGCAGTTACCACCTGGCCTCTGGCACACGCCGCGGAAGTGTCTGAACGTTCCTGTACATTCCCCTTAACGTCGCCAGCGCATACCCGGCCAGGAACTTAAGTATCTTCTACAGGGCGCCCTGCAATTTTTTTTTTTTACTTTAGCAACGCGATCCTCCTCCAAGAGGAGGTGTGTGCTTCCCTAGGAACACTTGAGCTTCGGACAAGGGGGGCGAGTTTGCGGCACTGGTGTCAGACTACGGAAGGGCCGAAGGGTCAAACTGGAGAGCTGGCCGGTTGCTAGGTGCGCCTGGAGCGGCGGGCCGGCCTCGGGCGGGTGCGAATTCCTGGAGGACTGCGGCCTGGGGTCTCCCCGAGCGCTGCCGAGGGCTCCGCCTCCGGGGCCGGACCTTAGCGAAGTGGCCAGTCGGGATGGTAGCGATGGCGGCGACCTCAGCTGACCCCGCCGCGGTCATACTTCGAAACATGGCGCCCCCTTCCGGAGACGCTGGCCCAGCGCAACCTCACCCAGCAAGTCCCGAGGTCTCGCTCCTTCCCCGCGACCTTTAAGGAAAAGTGTCGGGGAAGTCCGGTTTGCATCTCTCAGCTGCAAGATGGCCCCCAGGAAGGGTTCATGCAAGGCAACTCTTCGGATGGGATACCGGATTCCATGTTGTTTTCATTTGAAACAGTGTCCAAGTATAAAAAGTAACGATTTCCAGGCTAGGGTCTACAAGTTACAAGGAAAACAAAAATGTTCCAGAAATGCAGTATTCATTTCTCAACTAAATCTTGGAAAAACACTTGTTGGGGAGAAGCATGAATGGAACTTTTGTGTTACTGAAGAAAGTGCACCAAGTGCCTAAATTGTTTCATTGAGGATTGTGCAAAAGAACTAGCAAATTGTAGTAGGAATAATGTAGCAAGAGTGCAAGAAGGTAAATATAAATGGCATTTACATAAAATTTAGGCTTCCTTAATAAAGCACATGAAACCAAGATACTCCTGGGTAAGATTTAGAATAAAGTCCTCAATAGCTAACTTCTGCTGGATCAAATCCAAGTGGCTCTCCAAATAAAACTTCATCTTGGGAGAAAAGGATCACTAATTACACCTGGCAACGCAATGCTGTGAAGGCCTGAAGATGCTACTGGAAATTCCATTCCTTGAACCCTTCCCCTAATTTACACTTAGCGCATGCACACACACAGACTACACAACAGACTAATACAACTTTAAAAATCACTTCATTAATCTCTGATTTTGCTCTGTGATTTTCTTCATTTTCCAAGTTTTTTGGATAGACCCTGATTTGCAAGTTTACTTTTCTCAGAAACATCCTAATAAGAAAGATGTTCTTTCTCTGAAGACTGATTGCCAGTAAAACTTTCCTTCCTATAATCATCATGCAATTGTTTTCTTGTTTCCCTAGTAAAGTTGAAGCAATTTTCTGAAAGACTTATTTTTCATCTGTGCTTCCCAACTGGACAGCATACCGCATAACCACATTTTTTTTCCATTTGTCAAATGATGAAATTAGTATTTTAAACAATAACCCCAATATGGGCCAGTCATTTTGGACACTTATTGTTAAATTTTGTGCCCTGTGCCAGTTTCATGAGACACTCAGCAATCACTGTTTGCCAGACCAGGAAATGGTTTTATACTCCCATTTCCCCACTGTCATCTAGGATTTCCCTGTAATGGTAAGATCTGAAGGAGAGACATCAGGCACGTATATGCATTTCAACACCAAACTTTCTCAGGATGTTTTTTTCAAGTGTGAGAACAGCTGTCATGTATACGATCTGCTGCAGGCTGGTCACTGTGCACTTTGACCAGAAAGTGCTTAGCAGCCTCATCTTGCCAGTCTTGACTGGCACTCTCTTTTATGACCAACAATCATCAGGCTTTACAAATTAAATTTCTTATCTTCTCCTGTTTGCAAAGTGTTTGAAGGAGAAAATTCAAGGGGAGGATATGTTCAAGTTAATACTTTGCATTATAAAAACATGTTATCCTCAAGGTAAAATGAAAAAAAAAAAATAAGGTGAGATATTGAAGATAAAGAATTAGGACATATTCCTGCTTCTCCAGAGTTAAACCTTTATAGTGTTAAGATCCATATCACATCCCTTATAAAATTTAAGAATAAATATTATTTAAAGCTGTGGTATATACATGCACTAGAATATTATTCAGCCTTAAAAGGAATGAAATTCTCATACATGCTATGACATGGATGAACCTTGAAAAGGTTATGCTAAGTGAAACAAGGCAGACAAAAGGACATATGCTGTATAATTTCACTTATATGTGGTACCTAGGAAAGGCAACTTCACAGAGAGAGAAAGTAGAATAACGGTTGCTGGGAGTTGAAGGAAAAGGGCAATAGGGAGTTATTTAATGGGTACAGAGTTTCTGTATGGAATAAGGAAAGGATTGGTGATATTTACATAACATTGTGAATGTATTATACTTAATGCCACTGAAGCATATACTTAAAATGCTTAAAATAGTAAATTTCATTATATATTTTTACCACAATAAAGCATATAATGGAGGATAAGAACTATTTCAAATTACAACTCTTGTAATTCTTAAGTACTGTTGTTATGTAAGCATCTCCTAGAAAGTAGTATCTAGCAGTATGATGAGGATATAAAATAATAATTACTTCAGTTATTTAACAATGAACCAAACTGGTAATGGGCATTTGGCCCAGACTGGACAAAGTAAGGTAAGCCTACTGTATGTTCACTGACATATTCTTACCTTAGATCTTTTGTGATTCAAGCTTCTGTACTACTTTTGTACTTAATTCGCTTTTATAATGTCATAAGACATTGTTAGTGTTCACTCATATCTGATTCTCATAGCATTTTTCTAAGCCCCTTAAAGTGAGGGAGGAATTGGTGAGTTAGCTCTGACCAATAAGCTGTGGTTTAAGTGACGACTGTCATTTCTGGACCCGAGGCACTGCAACATCAACCAAGAAGGCTGTTTCATATAATGCAGCTCCGGGTTGGAATATTCTCTCTCAGTCTGGATCACTGAGTTATTTCATGGAAAATATTGGCCAGAAAGAGCCCCAAATCAGCAAAAAGGCTGCAATGATCACAAAATAAGTGCTAAGATCCCGAAATAATTTGGTAATACAGCCTAAGCTGAGGCTCCCCTGACAAATACACATGTTGGTAATGGGAGTTGGGTGCTGCTCAAAGAACCGAAGCTACGTGGCATTAGCTTAGAGATGGGTTGGTATACATAGCTACTAACGGAGGCTAGAAACATGGCGCTTCACATTATGCAGTGGATTTGATGTAACTCTAACCCACGACAACCTGGGAGGGAGAAAATGTACCTAGTGAGTTTCGAACTAAAGGGAAAAGTTGAATAATAAGAGTGGTGTGTGTGGTGTTATTTGGCACATTTATTATAAAACTGGAGCTCAGAAAGAATGATTTGTGAAACCTGAAACTAAGGAAGAGGTGACCAGAAATTCTGAGCTTCATATGGTTGTGATTTTTACCTCCAAGCAGTGAAAATTCATAACTATGGGTGTAGACTTCATATTTATTTTAGAAAAAAACTTCAATGGATTAATTAAGGGTGTGGAACCTTAACTTTTTTCTTCACTTGGAAAAAAAGTGCCTGAAGATGAAAATGTGGTTAAGAGGATGGCTCTCCCTTTAAAACTTACAGACAGAATATACCTGCCCAAAAGTCAGGAGAGATGGAGGTAGGAAATCAGAAAAATATAGCCAACCAAAGAACTACTTGTCTTAAAAAGAAAAAAAAAATGGTATGGTTATTGGCATGTAAATCTGACTGAAAGCAGAAAAAGGCCTACTTTAAGAGTTGTACTGAAAAATAAATTATAAACCTTGGCTAAAAGAACTTGTGACTGTTTTGAACTTAAAAAACAAAAAACAAACAAAAAACAAACATGAGCAGAAACCGGTTTGGCTCAGTGGGTAGAGCATCAGCCTGTGGACAGAAGAGTCCCAGGTTCGATTCCAGTCAAGTGCATGTGCCTTGCTTGTGGGCACATCCCTAGTGGTGGATGTGCAGGAGGCAGCTGGTCAATGTTTCTTTCTCATCGATGTTTCTGGATTTCTATCCCTCTCCCTTCCTCTCTGTAAAAAAATCAATAAAATATATATTTTTTTTAAAAAACATGAAAAAACAGCCGAAACTGGTTTGGCTCAGTGGTAAAGCATTGGTCTGTGGACTGAAAGGTCCCAGGTTCGATTCCGGTCAAGGGCATGTACATTGGTTGCGGGCACATCCCCAGTAGGGGGTGTGCAAGAGGCAGCTGATCGATAATTCTCTCTCATCGATGTTTCTAACTCTCTGTCCCTCTCTCTTCCTCTCTGTAAAAAAATCAATAAAATATATATTAAAAAAAACATGAAAAAACAACTTCCCCAATTATCTAGTAGGGGTGTCGAACTCAATCAGAGAAGGGGCCAAAATCTAAAATCCAGCCTAAATCGCGGGCCGAATGGTTTACTGAACAGTCATAAACTGTCATTGTGATGGAAACGCAGCGGAGTGCAGTGATGACACTGCGGTGCGGGCCACATTGCAAGGCCTGGCGGGACGGATTTGGCCTGTGGGCCTTGTGTTTGACACATGTGATCTAGGGAATAGACTGAAATACTAGTAAAGCTATGTATTTCCCAAGGACGGCATATTCCTCAAACAGCCATTTAGATATAGTCAAGGAGGAGAATAAAAACAGATCCTTCCAGAAGGTGGAATATGGAATCAAAGAGAACAATTGAGAAGGGAATTCTTAGTGAACAAAAATGGACCTTGCCCATAACCAGAGTAAGAGACCCTGATAACATTTCTGTTCTTCCCCATCTGAGTGAGAATATTTATTGTGGTCATGTTCCACCCCTGCAGAGAAAGTATATGGGAAAACAGAGCATACCCTTTTGG